CAGACCCTCATGCATGATCCGATCGATGTGAAATTTGGAGGGTAGCTTCTACACTCGTCGTTCCTAATTCGGAACGGTGGAGATTGCTTTCTATCGGTTAGATTTGGAGATATGAAGGTTTTACCGAAGCTACTCGTTCCAGGAGTGCAGAGAAAAGTCACTTTTGCACAGCAGTGATCGGCGTGATGATCGGACCCTCATCCGTGGTCTGATCAACGTGAAACTTGGAGTGTAGCTACTACACTCGTGGTTACTAATTCTGAACGGTGGATCTTGATTTCTATCGGTTGGATTTGAAGATATAAAGGTTTTACCGAACCTATAAAGGACTGGCGGAGCTTTTTTGAGATCGGCCAAAGAGAGAAAGAGATCAGCTACTCTTTTGAAATGATTGAACTTGCTTTGTTATCATCAACTCTTTTTAGAGTTTCCCTAACTCGATCAGAGTTTTAAAACTTGCTTAGCAAGTTCTTCTGATCAACAATTGATCAACCATTCTTGGCTAAAAGGATTATTAATCCTTTCTGAAATTAACTCTTTCAAAAGAGTTTCTTAACTCGGCTAGAGTTTCAAACTTATTCAGATAAGTTCTCTTCAATGTCCTACAGGGGTTGATCGGTTTCTAGCAGAAAAACCGCATAGGGTTGAGGTGAGCTGGCATCAAAACCGCCTAAGGTCAACAAATCTCAGCAGTTCAACAGTACGAAGAAGAAGATCTTTTGAAGATCAAAGAACTGATCAACGATCAGTCAATCGAATCCCGGAGGATTTCTTCATCAACGGCATAATCCACTTGGCAATTAACCGAATCTTCGGTTTCAGCAACTCTGTCACAGAGTTTTAACTCGCTCTGAGTTTATTTCTGAAACTCATTTAAGAGTTCGTGATTAAGCTTGCAATCCAAGCTAATCACATAAAATCAGACCTTCGGTTTTCAACAACTCTTGTCAGAGTTTTCAACTCGTTCTGAGTTCTTTATACTCGTCAAGAGTTCTAAACCGAAGTCATCAAGCACTTCAACTGTTCCAGTGAAGAAGGACGGTCGGATCGTCAACGGAGAGCAAATTCGACGCGATCAATCAAAGGAAGCACTCCACCGCTACCAAGAAGAACCCAGTTTTAAACAAAGGGGAGAATCAAATTCATTCTCCTCTCTTTTGTAATCGGAATCCAAATTGTAATCGATTTTGAGAGGAATACAAGTCAAATTTTTCTTTCATTGTCTTTTTACTGCAAATTTCCAACAAACACTCCCCCGTAGCCTTGTCAATTGTCATGGTTAGGCGACTAAACATTACATAAAATAATCGGGGTTGAAAACCCCGACCATTTTGAAGTGCCAACTTGAAATGGCCGGGGATCCTAACCCCGTCCATTTAGCAGAGACTAGAACCAACCCATGAAATAGTTGGGGTTGCCAACCTCGGCTATTTAGCAGAGACTCCCAGCTCGAAAATCGGGAAGGGGCTAAGTCATGAAATTGTCGGGGTTGCCAACCCTGACTATTTGTGGTGGGTCTCGCCCCCTTGTATATACTAACTGAAACCATTTCTCTCCAAAATCCTGATTTTTCTCCTCTCCAACTCTGGTCTCTCTCTCTCTCTCTCTCTCTCTCTCTCTCTCTCTCTCTCTCTCTCTCTCTCTCTCTCTCTCTCTCTCTCTCTCTCTCTCTCTCTCTCTCTCTCTCTTTCTTTCAGCTACCTACCCACTTCTCCCAACCCTATTTTGCAGAAGAAATTCATCATGAAAGTTTGCTTAAGATATTTAGGGTAATTTCTCTTCCTTCTCTCTTCTTTTAACATGAAAAAATCTAGGGTTTTCTATCAAAATACAATTTCTAGGGTTTGAAATTTATTATTAATCACTCTATTTGTTATGGTTCAAATGCTTTGTATGTTGATTGTTGTAATTTAAATTAAATTTCTAGGGTATAAAATGCTCAATTCCAGGGTTTAGGATTTTTATTTTGGGGTTTAGGGTTTTTGGTTAAAATTATATGAGATTATTTGCATCTTGGGTTTTCCTCTCATATTCAATGTCCTAATAAATTTTTTAAAATTTTTTTGTATTTAAATGATATAATCTTTTTTGCATAGGTTGAACAATATGATTTTTATTGCTTGCTCTTATGGTGGGAAAATTAATTATGGAATAAATAATATGTCAATGTACGTCGGAGGGGTAATGATGTTGTTAATGATCTCAGAATCATATAGTTAATGTGACTTGATTAAGGAATTACACCGAGTTACGAAAATTGACCCACAAGAGTACCGCCTAAAAATAATATGCAATTGGCCCATAACTTTTGATAGAACGTTTGCAGTTGAGATCTCAAATGATCATCATATGAGTATTATGTTTAATTTGAGCAAGTCGCAACCAACGATAGAATTGTTTATTGAAAAGTTGCTATATAGTTCGTGCCAGATATTCAAACCTCTAGGAGATTCTCACGCATGCTAGATTTGGGAGTTGAGTTTAATGATTTTTTTTCTTCTTCGAGTAAAATGGAGCGGACTCAATTTTAATATCTAAGTGTACCTTCATTCGGGGGAACGTCAAATGTCATGAACAATAACGTCCCTTATGAAAATATGAGGCCATTAAGAGAGACAATAATTGAAGAGGATGAAAGAAGCAATGACTCTGAAGGTGAAGAGCAAGATAGTTCACCAATTAATAGCATGCAATTTGTGACTGAAGATGTTGAAGAGAATCTGAATTGGCCTAATGAGGCTTATGCTAATAATGAATATATTGAGTACGAAGAACCACGAGTTTAAAGATGATGAGTGGATTCATTCTTCCACGGTACAAGATATGTGCATTGACCAAAGTTCAACTTATAGAAGAGATGATGACGTCCCTTTCAGAGTTGGAGATTTATTCAAGACTATAAGGACCAATTGGTTGATGCTATTCGTGATTACTCAATCAAAAAGAATGTCAAATTCAAGCAAGTTAAAAGCAATCACACAAGTTATGATACAATCTATTTTATGAATACACAAAGGAAAGGTTAGGCGGAGAGAAATGAAGTTGATTACGTATGTCATTGGAAGTTATATTTATTTGCCGGAAAGAAACATAATGGACATTTTAGAATCACAGAATACTACGGTGTTCATGCATATAGCAATCCGATATTAGAGCAAGATCACAGTGGTGCATCTGCCTCTTACATAGCCCGGTTGATTATGCCAGAATTAAAGATGAAGCTTGAACTAGCTCCCCATAATGTAATTGAGAGAGTGCTAGATACGAAGCTCATTGAAATATTATATAGTAAAACATGGAATGCAAGGAGAACTGTGATAACAAAAAAATTTTGGTGATTAGGAGAAGTCTTATGCGATACTTCCTCAATATCTTGATGCGATCAAAAGAAGCAATCCTGGATCTGAATACAAACTCATAACCAAAGAGATCAATCCGGGAGTTCATCAATTCATCCCTGTATTTTGAGCATTTGGTCCTTCAATCGAGAGATTTAAATTTTTTCGGCCAGTTCTTAGTATTGATGACACACACTTATATGGTAAATATAAGGGTGTATTGCTTGTTGCTACAAGAGTAGATGTAGATGGTGGCTTATTTCCTTTGGCCTTCGCAGTTGTAGAGGTCGAGAATAATAAAAATTAGGAGTGATTTTTTCCCTTCATTCAATTATATATTTTTAATGTGTAGCATCCTAGGAAAATTATTTTTATATCCGATAGAATGAAAGGTATTTCTGAAGCATTGTATAGGAGATTTGACTCTCATCACCATCACCGCTATTACTTAAGACATATTAGAGCTAATTTAAAAAAGAGCTTTGGTCAGATACATTTACAACCTTCTTTAGCAATCAGATTGTACATATTAGAGCTAATTTTATAGACTCAATAACTATTTTGTCAAGCGACAAGAGGATAGAGCAAAGTGGGTGATGTTATTTACACTAAAAAATGAAGAGATTGTGGGGTCTCGTGTCACGCAGGCGAGATCAATGAAGATTGTTAGATTTGCTATAGATGAATGACAGGTTATAGACAAACACAGTTATAATTACACAGTCAATTTACGAGGGACACAATATACATGCACTTGTAACATGCCACAATTGCAAAAATTGTCATGTTTACATGTTATAGTGGTTACGTCCAAGAAATTTATGGGTGCAAATACTTCGTATTACACATACACTTTTGAGTGTTATCAATCAAGCCACCATAGAAATTCATACAAGCAGTGTTTCCATCCCAATATAGATAATCGTTACTAGCCACCCTATAACAGGCCACATGTGTTACCTCCTGAATATAAGAGACAAGACAGACGTCCGTGATCAGTACGTATAAAAGGTACGATGGATGAAGGAAGGGAAGGAACGCCAAAGAAAAATAGACGTGGATATTGCAGATAACCAGACCATAATAGATCCCATTGTCCTACCAATCCAAATAAATAGCAATTAATAGGTATAATTTATTTAATTTATAATTTTATTTACTTCCTTTGTAAGTCAATGCGTATATATAAATTCTGTAATTTACTTCTAATTCTAATTTATCATACGTCATAATATTGACACATTATATCTTCGTATGTGTAGATATTTACAGTATGGAGGCAGGTCCATTGACATATCGGGTCTTTATGATCAAGATCGACACTGATCCGTGAAGATAGACTATGGGGAGGGAAATTACATTTTTATTATTTTTAATCATTTCAAATTTTCAATGTTCTTACTGTTACTGAACATTTACACTGTTTAATATATGTAGACCCCGAGTATTACTATTGTTGATCATACTCGTGCACATTCGAGTTGGGATTTGACGGATCCACGTGTTCAATATTATGTTCGTCAAGCAAGATTTTTTGAATGTTCACAAATAAAATGGGTAAAATTCGATTGGCCTCTCTTGACGGTATTGATTGAATGATGGAGGCCCGAGTCAATTACATTTCACATGCGTCAAGGAGAGTCGACTATTACTCTGCAGGATATTGGGGTTTTACTTGGCCTCAAAGTGGATGGAGGTGCTGTTACGGGTACCGATGACTTCAAGTGGATAGAAGCGTGTGAACGATTGCTGGGTTAAGCTCCTAATATGAAGGGTGGTAAGATCAAGCTCGAGTGGTTATGAAATAATTATATGAATGTACCGATCGATGCAACTGATAAGATCGTCAAGAGCTATGTCCGTGCATATATACTCCATATGATCAATAACGTTCTATTTCCAGATTCTACTAAGGATTCAGTGCAAGTTAGATGATTGCTACTTCTTGAGGATCTTGAGGAGTATGGAGAGTTATCCTGGGGGAGTGCAGTATTTAGCTTATCTCTACAGGGAGATGACAAAAGTGGCACTCGTGCAAAATAAAGAATTCAAATGTTGCCTCACTTTGTTGCAAATATGGTCATGGGAGTGATGGTATTTGGGAACACTAGATTTGAGGGAGACCCGCGCTCTCAATGGCCAGATTTCGTTAGGATGCAGGTATATTAGTTTGTAATAGATATGATTACTGTTCGTTGGAAAATTTGTGAAATAAAAATGGAAGAACTGTGTTTGATTTTATTCTCTCTAACTACTTAGAAAAAGAATATTTTTAACTCTCTTAATCTCAATTACAATTTGGATTTTCTGATTACAAAAGAGAAGAGAATTGATATGAATTCTCCCCTTTGTTTAAAACTGGATTCTTCCTGGTGGCGATGAGATGCCTCCCTCAAATACTCGCGTCGAGTTTGCTTCTCGTTGACGATCCGAACGTATTGTTTCACTAGAACGTAGTCTTCTCCTCACGATTTGACGCTGTGGAGAACTTGTGTGGTAAGTTTTAAAGAACTCTTGATAAGTTGATAACTCTGAACGAGTTTGAAACTCTATGAAAGAGTTGATTTAACCGAAATCAGTTTGTAAGCCAAGGATGAAGAAAGCTCCTGTTTTTGATCTCCAAAGCTCCAGCAATTCCCCTAAAAAGCCAGGCGAAGATCTTTTCTTTTTGGCCAAAACCCCAGGCCCCGAACTCAGTTGAGTTTACTCCTATTTATAGGGGATTAAGGGGTGTAACCGCTCCATTAATTCGCTCCTAAGTGGGGCTGAATGGGGTGTAACCACTCCCTTAAACTACTCCCCAAATCGTGAGGAAAACAAAAATCGTTTAGTTCGTACTTTGAATGAGTCAAATGCCAGTCTGGGCAATCTGGATCCGAACTCTGTGTTTTAGACTTGAAACACAGAGTTGGGCCTGTTTTTGGCTGAAAACACCGTGTTCGCACAGCGTTGTAAATATAAAATGCAGAGTTAGGACGCAGAGATGAACTCCGTGTTTTGAGTCCACGAACTCTGCGTTTTTAATTAGAGCGCTGGGGATGACCTCTGTGTTTTAACTCTGAAACGCGGGATGACCTTTGTGTTTTGATGTTGTAACAGGGATGACCTCTGCGTTTTGATGGTGTAACACAAGGATGACCTCTGCGTTTTGAGGTTGTAATGCAGGGAGGACCTCTGCGTTTTGAGATTGTAACGCATGGAGGACCTCTGCGTTTTGAGTCTGAGACGCATAGATGATTTGAAGAGACAGTCAATTTGTAGTCTCTTTTGCTAGAGCGTTGCAAAGACCGTCATCTTATAATTTTCGTCTTGGCTCCTTGAATATATGAAAGCTGTCAAATTGTAACTTCTATCGTCGGTGTTTGATGGGGATTAGCTATCCGCTGTTATTTTTAGACAACCTACAATTACATGTAATTTTATACATTTATTTCAATACATACTAACCATTTGTATATCAAATAGATGGAATGTTTCCAGATATTGGCAAACCTCCCCAAAGGGTCACAAAAACTTTTACCGGAACGAGCTTGATTAAATGGAGGATGAACATGTATAAAATCATAATATCTAAATATATTCAATTAATACATCATTTGTTACTGATATGTAAATTTATATAATCTTCTTTATAGGTCAAGTGGATGCCCGATGAACTGGTTTTAGCTTCACTACCAGATTTTTGCAGAGATGGTGAAGATATATGGCGTGCTCGAGTACTGATTATATATTTTGAGATTGTCGAAATGCACGTGCCTAACCATGTGCTCCGACAATTTGGATTAAAACAACATATTCCAGATCCTATAGAAAGAATATAGCGAAATCCCCGAAAAGGAGCACATCATCAAAATTGGGAGATAATTCGTCATGCTTACATTAAGAATTGAAAGTTGAGGGAGGAAGTTGTAGTGATGGAGAGGGTTGACGCACCAGAACTAGATGTGTACCTACGGCGGTATTGGGGGATTACTCGCCGATGGATATTTCTTGAGAACAAAGCACCTTAGGAGTACATACCGAGAGGTCCAGTTGAGAGAGAGTTGGTAAGTGTATAAACAAAATATACAATTTATTTTATGTTTTTTATTTTATTATCATCCACTTGCTAATAATCCTCTTTCGTTTTTTATCTTATAGGTACAAGAACTCGATGAGGTTGCTTCTACTGCACCTGATGAATGATGAATTGAGATCGACTACCGAGCCAAGGATGAGGAACGCGTTTGTTCGCATCATAGGAAAGATTCAGTCCGCTCTTAGAAGGACACGTAATGCAAATCGTAATGGACGTGAGGAGCGACTCATAGGGTACGAGCGTCGACGGGTCCGAGGACACACGAGAGCAGGCTCAAGTCGTGCACATGATGAAGCTAGAGGCTCACGGCAAGCTTAAGCCGGATGTTCGCAGCAGGTTCAAGTCGATGAGGATGCCATGTGTTCACAAGTTCACACACAACCGGACGTTGAAATCATTCAAGCTCATGTTGAAGGTGAACGTGGAAAGGGGAGAGGAGAGAGAGAGAGAGAGAGAGAGAGAGAGAGAGAGAGAGAGAGAGAGAGAGAGGTTGAGTGTTTATGTTTGAAATGCTATGATGTTTATGTTTGATATGCTACTGTGACTTGATTATGGTTGGATTTTTAGTAAGTGAATTGAATGTTACATTTTTGTTAAAGATTTGTTATAGATGTAATAATTATATAAAGATATGTGTTTATTTATGTTTGAAATTGATTATAGATTGATAAATGTGTAGCTAGTGAGTTGGTGTTAAACTTGTGGATTAATATGTATTAGCAGGAGATGAGATTTTTCAGCAAATTATGGGCTGGAAAGTCTCTGCCAAATGATCGGGGTTGGGGTTGGGAACCCCGATCATTTTTTATGAGGGGCGGCACAGGCTTTGCCAAACAGTCGTGGGTGGGAACTCCGACAAAATTAGTCGGGGTTTCATACCCCGACTTATTTAGTGGTCTAACCACGAGAGGGCTGGGGAGGTGCTAATTAGTCGGGGTTGACAACCTCGACTAATTAGAATCACACTTTTTTTTAAACGACCTATTTTCTGACCATAAAACTGACGTGACGAGAAAGTGTTACAAATGTATTACTGTAACACCCACATAAGATAATAATAAAGGTCTTGCATCCGCAGTGAAATGTTAGAGCGTTCCAACGACGACACTTGTGCCGCAACTAGACTCGCGTCGCGGGCAACAATTTGAGCTGCAGCGACAGAGCGAATCGGCACGCATAACATAGAACCCGACCCAATAATCCCAACCCGACCCGTTTGGAGCCCTTTCCGAGCTTTCTCTCATGCCCGCCTCCCCGACGCCGAGAGAGTTCGAAGCCATCATGGTGGCAAGGCACGGCATTCAGCTCGCCGTCTTCCTTATCAAATCCCACTTCGGCGAACTCGTCTCTGTAGATACCCCCCCTGCCCTCTCTCTCGCCCCTCTTATTTGATCTCAACTCAATTTTATTTCCTTTTTCAGAAAGTATGCGAGTGCCTCCTCAATCGAGGATCCCTCTCGTTTCAAGAACTGGTTCGTTTCGCCGAGCTCGATCCCGACGATAAATCCAGGAACAGCCTCCTCGTCAAGAAATCCCTCCTCGTCCTCATCCAGCACAACTGCGTCCAGGCCTTCTCTGTTCCTAAACTAGGTTTTTTTTTAATTTTTTTTTAATTTTTACTGTTTTTAAAGAATCCATTTGCGCGTAGTTATTATTTTTGATTTTAATTTTTATGCATGCTTCGCGCAGGTGGACCTGGAGGGTTGCCGAAGCTTCAGACCAAGTATATGATACTGTTTGATAATGTTCTTCATCGGTTGAGGTTTGCGAAGTTCTTGGCTATTGTGAGAAATGACCTTGGTCCAAAGGTTAGTATTATATTGTGCTGGGGTTTTGATATTTTGGTTGATCATAGGTTGTGGCGTACTTTTCCAAACAAATATGGTTACTGAATATTTTCGAGGGGCATATTTAATGAGATTATTGATGATCAATGTGATTATTGTCATTGTTGTGAGCAACTCAGAACACGCATGCCTCTTATTTCTCTCTGAATCTCGTTAATGTAGTCTTAAATTTGCCGAAAGCCTTGGAGCTTTCTGAAAGTTTGCTTGACGTCTTACTTAAGTAACACGTCAATCACTAAATATTTTGAGCATTCATACGAGTAAACTGCATGATTATTTTCTTTTAAAATAAGGACCACATGTATGCTTTTCGAGCCAGTAGTTAGAGGACTGTTTTGAAAATACACTCCCAATGAATATTACAGATTGAAAGAATCATTTCAGGCTTATAGATCTTGTAGAAGATTCGATGACCTAATTTGTCTGCGCTTCTGCCCATCTGAGAGGTGTTTTCTCCCCTTTTTAATTTGGTTCAGTTTCTCGAATCTCTTCATATCTAGAAACTGACTATACCAACAAAATATATGACGTGAATAAAGACTCCCTTCATTGCAGGCTTTCAGTTATTTGTTTGTAATGTTTTGCTATGATTTGGACTAGACTTTAGTATTTCTAACAGTGAAGTGACTGATGAGCAACCAAGCTCCACATGTTTTTCTTTCTTGTTATTTACAAGTATATTTTGCATTTTTTTGCAGTGTGAAGCTCTTCTCGAGGGTTTACTTCAACATGGCAGGCTTACTTTTGACCAACTTGTGCTTCGAGCAACTTCAAAGCAACCTGAAGGTATAAATAATTTCTCCCTTCCATGTGAGTTGGGGGTTTCTTAGAACAATATATTGATCTATTTGATTTCTCAAAAGACCCTGTCAATTTCTATAGTAATCTCAACCCTTGAATTTACTTTTCTTGGCACAAATATTAGACTCATTATTGACAACAGGATCTGTATAGATATCTATAAGACATGAGCATAAGTTAAAAAACATAAAATGACAATGTTTAGTATCTTAAACATACAACTCAAGATGTCAGAAACTTGGAAATGAATTCTAGTTAACGTCAATGCAGGTAAACAACAAATCCCTTTCTCTCTTTTTTTTAAAAACCAAACCATGATCCTTGGGTGGTCACCTTCCAGTTATCGAATCCCACTCTACCTAGCAAGCTAGGCCAGCACTAACAATGCACATCCTATTAACTGAAGAAAATTGCAAAACAAATTATGACACTCCTTAGTGAGTACTTATATGCATAACTGGTCATGAGATCTCATAGAAGAAAAAAAATTCATAGAATGAAGCACCAGGTTTGCAACTCAACTCTTCATTTAAAAAAAAAAAAAGAAGAAGATTACAGAAATCAAAAGATATGCCAACGATGGAATGAGATATGATCAATATATTAAATATAAAAAATATGGGAAATATCGGATGGCCAGAATCCATATCGGATTGTTGAAAGTGTGGATATATCGGGGATATGTAAAAAATACACGATGTCCAATCGGATGATGTTCATATGTAACATAACATTGTAATATGTAATCAAAACATATTTAATATATTCTAAACATGAAAATCTGCATCGTGAATAATGATATACGACGTTTAGAGACATTAGATACAGGTAGAGGTCAGAGAGAAGATATGAACAGAGGAGAGAGAGGAAGATAAAGAGAGAAGGTTGAGAGAACGGAGAGGGAAGTTGAGAGAGAGAAAGAGGAGAGATGAAGAGAGACAGAGGGGTTTGAGGAGGAGCTGAGAGAGAATTGGAGAAGAGAGAGAGTGAGAGGAGAGAGAGAGAGGAGAGAGATTAGTACCGAGGTCGCCTAAAGCGTTTTTTGAGTTGGAATGCCGAACGAAGGAGGAGAAATATGAGATTGACTAGGAATTTAAGGCATTTGATTTGTTAATTTATTAAGTTTTTGGGTCTGGTGGGAACAAAAACCAAACCTAAATTCAATAACCATTTCATTTGGATATTAGCCAATATCGGCCAATAAAGAAATATCGACCGATATTTTCAATATATCAGAAAAAGTGATAAAAAAATCAAAAAACGATATTTTTTTTCATAAATATCGTATCGGAAGGGCATCCAAACCGATATATCAGCTGATATAGTGATATATCGCCGATATTTAATACATCGGATATGATCATGAGTTTCTGTACCTTCTGCGCTAAGTAGGAATTCTAATTTTGGATCCATCTTCGATGGATCAAATGTTTAGCCACCGACCTCCGAGCACAACAAAAGTAAATCTTTCTGGCATGCACCTAGGACAAAGTTCTGATCCACAAAGTGTTAGAAGCGACATAATAAACTCCTTGACCTGTGTGGTGTTGAACATTTCTTTTAGACCATGCCTGCAACTTCACTTTAGAAATAATGAGTTATAAAATGAGGGAATCTGTGGATTGTCACCTACTACTACTAGACATCAATATGAAGCTAAAGAGAAGGGTTTCTATGGCGATCTGAGATAATATATCATCGCTCAATGAATTTCAATCATGAGACAATGAGTCTAATAAGAAAAGAACTCAGCATACGAATTTGAAATTTCAGCCCTTGCCTGGATCCGTCTCTAGTTTTTAATAGAACCCTGAATCCCTAATGGGAGTACGAGAGCTGTGTGAATGATGGACAACAGATAGTTTGGATAGGTCTAGGATACGTTTTTCCTTATAATATGAGTTGGGTTAGATTCCTATATAATATCACATATATTTAGTTATATTATGAGTCATTTTTTATTTTCTACATGTGGGTCTGTATCTTCTTGTTTCTACATTAAGAGTGGAAAGTTCTTTATCCTTTAGAAAGTTAATTTATCATCTGTTAATGTTAATTTATCATTGTTCCATAGTTTCATTAATATACTTGCATTCAGGATTAAGGGGTCTAGATATTTTTTAGGTTTAACAAGTTGGTTTGCTATGGTTTTCAATCTTTCTTATGAGGTTTCAGTTTGTAGTCTTCGTCTTGTCTTTTGTATAAATTGGTTCTAAGCTAGAAAATAATGATTGAAGTAGGGGCAACATTAGTGATCACAATGGTGGAAAGTAGTTGCAAGAGATGAGTTATAGGAAAAGTTTGAACTTTGAGCAAGACATAATTTATTGTGGACAAGTTAAAATATTTGACATGAAAATCTATGAAAAATCTAGTTTATTATGTATTACGGATAAGTTGATACCTGTAGACTCGTACAAAGCCATATCTTCTATACTAATGAAACTGAGGTACCTCATCTGTCTAAGATATATATATCAGTAGGAAAATTTTATTTCGAAGAAAATTGTTGCAATATAATGATAAAAAATTCATATTTTATTAGGAAGTTCATGGATGACAATAAAGAAGGTAAAATGTTTAAGCTAGGTATTGCAATGTTTTAAAAAGGTATTATGGATTGTTTTATACTCGATGAAGTATTTTCCCACATCCAAATCTAAAGTGATGAAGGACAATAGAGTAAATACCAAAGATCCAATATATCCATAACATAAAGTTTCTCATAAACCCGATGATGTGGTTCGCTTTGGTCCTTGTGGAGATTAAGAATTTTCTGCTGGCTTGAGGATTAACAAACATTTGAGAATTGCTTAAAATAATGTCAATGTTTTCAAAAACAGTCGAGGCGTCGGCCTAGGCCTAAGCGGTACCCACTCCGGTCGCTTAAGTCTTGGGAGTGTCTAGCGAAGCATGGGCCGCTACGCGGACTGCACCTCTTAGGCCTTGGTCGTGATTTCCTCCATAATTACCTCCATATCTTCTGACCTCCGGTCTCCTCCACTAACTATGAACACCTCTTGCACCTCCTTTAAGCTTCAACAAAGCCTCCTCAGCACCAATTAACTCTCTGAAGTTTTATGTTGATTAAGTGGAGCGATTTAGAGATTTGAAAATCATTAAGAATATGGAAGAACACAAAAAATCCCCAAGGTTTGTATAAGTGACAGAAATTCCCTTAAAGATTTAAATTTTAGAACTAACACTTCAATCCCCTTCCTTGAATTTCCCTCAAACTAGTCAACATGGATATCGTGTGACTCATTTAATGACAAAAATGCCCCTGAAGAAAATGCCCCAAACTCTTGTGAGAATAATGTTTATTCTCTTCAAGGCTATTTTTGTCATTAGATGAGTCACACGAACTCATGTGGCCTTGTTTGATGAAAACTTCAATGGAGGGGTGAAAGCAAAGTTGCATGGAACCTGGTTCATTCCAGTTCACAGGACATGTATGGGAGTGTGGTACGATGCTCATCAGGAATCAGATACGAGTAGGTTTATACAATGTGTCCGGAAACATTGTACATTTTAGACTCGGTTCTTAAATGTAGGATCGGAGCTTTTGCAAGAGTCAAGTTTAAGAAGTATGCTAGTTGATATCAGTAATGGTAAAATAACCTTCAGAATCATGTTGTAATTAAGGTGTACATCCTTTATTTGCTTAATTTCTCACTCTTTGTTCTTTATTCTTTCTGAAGAGAATTTTTTTTCAAAAATTATTTGATTTGAATTTGAAATTGGGTCGCTGGAGTTAGTGAATTGGGTCGTGTTCCGCTCTGGATCTGGGACAATATAACTCAGGTCGCGATTTTCTATTGCATCCCACGTTCCTGACTTCTATGGGTGAAAATGTTAAGTTTCAAAACTTCTAGATATTTTTTCTCACTTTTACAAAATTTAGGGTGATTTTCCATATATATTTCTTAATAATAAACCGTATTTCAATACATATACTAAGTAAATGTCCTATTGACACTGTGATGGAAACTTATGATATTCAAAAGGAGAACCTGCCTTTTGGTATACTCAGATATTCATATAGCTTATTAGCCCTTATTTTTTGAGAATGTAAGTAACAAACAAAAAATTGGTCACATATTATAGTATATTATTGGGGTAAAGAAACTATTCGTATTTTTTAAATTGTTTTATTATTGAACATGGATTTTATAGTTAAGTAACTGAACATGATGACATATTCCTTCCCAGTGGAGGGGATTGGTGTATAGCAGTTCGGTTACGTTTTTAGGATTACTTTAAGAATTTTGGGTTGCAACAATTTGATTATTCATAGGAGGGGAACTATCTTTGTGTTTCAATCTGCACAGTCCCTTCAAAGCTGTGATTGCATGTCCAAACTATGCTTACAATTTTGTTTTTGCAAGTTGCTTCTATGCTATTTTGCATGATTGATGAAAGTTGTGGATTTGCCCCTAAGAAGATGCTATAAGCTGTTGATGCTGCCATTAGCCCCGAAATAACTTTCCATCAACTCGGTCTTAAATAGGTTGTTCAAAGTGGAATTTTTAATCAACTTAGTAAAGAAAGGGTTGTTCAAAGGAGGCTAGCACGTTAACACGCTCATTCTATTTGAATAAGGGAATTCCAAAATATGCAGATGTATGGGGCTTTATCAAATGCTAAACTTTTTCATAAAGACTGAAACTGGTGCAATATATATTGTTTACTTTAAGCGGTTGTTTGGTTCATTTCTTAAAATAATAGGAATAGGAAAAGGGTGATAAAATAGTGTTTTAAATGGTTTCCATGTATTTCTAGGAAAATCATTTTTTTGTTTGTTTTGATTTAGAAATATAGTGTAAACAACTTTGTGTGCTATTCTTTAGTTTGGTTCAAAAGGAAAAAAATGGGAATATAAAAATTTAACTAAAGCCTATTTTTCTATTCTTTAATTTGGTTGAACAAGGAACATTTCTAGAAAAGTAGCACCCCGTTACCTTTTGTGAGTTTCCACTCGCATGAGGACAAAATTAGTGCAAAATAATAGAGCTCAACTTTTGGTCATTTTATCAAAATTGATGCCTGATCTAATTAGTGCATTCGCAACGTAGGTTGTAATCACATAAGGGGACCTCATTTAAACGTTGCAAATGCAATGTAGATTACAATCTCGTCATGGATTACCTCACCTAAACAATGCAATTGAAATTTAGATCGCACTGTCAAATGTATACAATCATCATTGCCCGATTTTTAAAATAAAAAATGACTTGAAAATCATCAATAAGAAGGAAACTCCCAAAATAAGTGTTTAAGTTTGGCATTCTGCATTTGCAAAATTTGGTGGAGCATACAAAAAGCAGCCTTCAGAAAACCGTGAATTGCCATAAATTTCCATGCACATAAATTTCATACATATAGCGCAATCAAACTCCTTGTTTAGAAAAGCATGCAGGCAAATGTAGCACAATCAGCTCAAGATGGACATTTTAAAACATATCAGAGTCAACACAGTGTGCTAAAATCTTCAATCATGCAGACAAAATTATGCATCATGAACCAAAATATCATCATAGACGAAGCATTATATCTAGTAAATGCTCATATAATCTAGCTCCATTAGCAGCCAAATATAGAAGTAGGCATTTGGATAACTGAGTGAAATGAACGAGAGTGAAATGAACCAAAATATCATCATAAACAGAGCAAAAACCTTATTTTGTAATAATCGACGGATCTGAATAAGGAGTAGTAGTATAAAGAAGTCTGTCAAAAAATCCAGATCTGGCAGCAAGAAATCTACAAAATCACCTTCAAACAACTTCAACAGAGGGAATTCAGTTTCTTTAGCAAGAAATCCATAAAATCCAAATCCGATGGCAAGAAACCCACAAACCCTCACTCTCAGAAATTTCATGGGTCTAGCCTTCAACCAACACTATTGGAACACAAAATAGTTTAATGTAGTGTGGAGGTGGTCCATTAGGAGCAGGGCTTTCTGGAGAGGCATGAACGAAGAAGAGGGAAATGGGTTGGTGGTGACTTTAGGTTTGATCTCTCCCGGAAGAAAAGATGGAAAGGGAAAAAATATGGGAGTGGGATTTTTTAGTAGGATATAGTACCAACATGTCAGATTTCTATCCAATTTCCACCTAAAACAAGGGAAGTTTGGTTTCTACAAAATACACCCCTTTTCTCTGCTTTATAGAAACAACATTCTGTGAAAACCATGTGAAACAAAGTTTTAGGAATCCCCTGGAAAGTTTCATTTACCACTTTGCCCTTGTCAGAGTGGGTTCCACTAGTTTTCTATAAAAAAGGGTGAACCAAACTCCTCCTCGTTGTCATAAAATTCTTCTTGATACTTTGCAGCAACGCAGGATTGTGTTCGTACAAACTTCAATGAACTGGTACAATCACATTACATTGAGCGTTGTCCAAGGGCTGATCCCTTCATTGCACCAACTCCTGAAACTAAACCAGGAAGGAGAGGCAGTAAGGTAAATATAGCATGATTTTCTTTTTGTTTTGTTTTTCTCCTCATTTGGTTCTAACACTAAATTATTACTCTGATGAGAATATCCACATCTCTAGAGTCTAAAATATTCCGTTGAAACATGATGAGTTATATAAAATCACAATACTATTTTCCTTTCCACGAAGTATGGTTTCAGTAATTGCTTATCAAGTTAGACTGTTGTTACTTCAGAAGTTCTAACATTACAGGTGTTGTTAATATGTAGATGTGCATGTCCACTAATTATGTTTCTCCACATTATTTTCCAAGTTATGGCTACGCACAAGCACTGAATTAGCACTTTCATTTTCCATGTTGTAAACTTGCCTAATACTGATGCCTCATTACTTTTATTATGGATCTTACTTTTTACGACCTATGTTTTGCTTATATAGACATCAGTGGTTTTACAATTGCTTCTGCACAAATTATTTAAGTCTTAATAAAATATGTACAGAACACAAATGTACATGGTCTTTGCTCGTTTTTCAGTTTCAAACGCGTGTTCGACAAGTTAGGGGCTTTTGTAGCAGTTTTCTGCTAGTTAGTCTTGACATGATGTTCATATGGTGGATAGGAGTTCAGGTGCTAAAATATTTGGTGTATTTTTTTACAGTCTAGTGTAGAGATTCCAACTATTGAAGAACAAGCAATCCTGGCTGCATCTCTCTCAGATATTGAGAGATTTTCTGGAATTTCTCCGGCGACAAATGCCGGTGTAGAAGAAAAAGATGAAAAGTTATCGGAGCATTCTCCTAGTGTATCAGTTGGCAATAAGGTTGGTATTTTGGTTGCTTAAACTTTTCCTTCCTGGAGCTGTTCAAGCTGTTCTCTTACTATTTAAATGTTTTCATATTTTTCCTTCTTCTTGGGTCTCTGTTGCAGTCTATTAGTTAACAGCCATATAGCAGCCTTTCCTTTATCTATCTGATAGGTTTGAATAATATATCACTGATTTATTTCCAATGCAAGTTATTATATCACTGGTTTATTACCTGAAGCATTATGATGCAAGTTCTTATTTGCAAGTTATATTTTTATTGAAACGGCTGTATTCACCTCTTGAATCCTGGATTTGTTGGTGTAAAAATGTCCCTATTCACCCTGTACAAGGAGTGTGGAGGCCATAATCTTTCTAAACTCCCGCCACCTTCCTTGCCAGTGGTCATTGTATATAGGCTGCCTTTTTTGCTTCTGTTTTCTAAATGAAACTTTACAAGTTATTTGGGTTAGCAGAAAAGCTCACTTTCTTGGTTCTGGAAATGAGTTGGCTGGTCTGTCAGCTTGTAGTAATTTTTAGCAGACTTATCCATGTACTGTAATTTCTCCTATCTTTGGATGCTTTTATGTTCCTCTTGTTCATCATTATCAAAGGAAGAATATATGAAGTTTGATCCCAGCCTATCTGCATTTGCATGACTGCCATGGCTTCTGATAAATGTTACTATTTTGATGTTAAGCTGCCATTATTTTGTTATCTTGTATGTGCACTGGCTTTCCTTTCAATCCATTTGTTTTTCTTTTTTCTTGCTGTTGGACAAGCTATCCTATGTAAAAGGTTCTGGCAGAGAAAATGAAAACATTAAAATCGATCTGTTGATTGATATCAGAGTAATGATGCTATTACAATCTTGTTCAGTGATCATTCAAAGCCACCCTTAGTAGGTGTTTTATCTTCCTGTCCTAATGAAACTGGTATAATAATTCGTGGTTCTAATTTGTTACGGGGGATTAGGATCCCCCAAAAGAAGTCTAGGTTCTTTTCTTCCAAGAGGAGTTTCATTATATTGCCTAAACTTTTTCCTTGCCTATGGCTGTAAATTCCTTGTTGAAATCTGCCTTTTCCCCCCCTTTTGTTCTGGGAAGAGATGTTCAACCAGGACTTGCATCCATTACGATACATTGCCTATCAGATCTAAGACCTAGTTCTGGTCTAACTTATACTTCGGCACAAGTGCTTTTGATTTGTCATAACATAAACAACTAGAAGTTTTTCATCCCAATATTTGGATTTTGGCTACATTAATGTTTTCTCCTTTCATCTCTATTACGGCCTGTCATCTGTGTTAACTACTACCGTGTCCTTCTTTTGCTGCCTGGTTTGATTTGTGTAGGTCTACCCTTTGTTTGTGTCCCTCTATAAAAGACTATCCAACCATTGCTCTTAATTTGCACGTTGTCTGACCCCATCGCCTTTGTCCAAGCCATCTAGAGCGTGTCTCCCTCATTTTATCCTCATTTGAAGCTGGACACTAACTTTCTTACCCTATCGTTGAGTTTGTTGCAAGTTTCAGTTCAAACTTTTGGTAATTCTCAAACCAACTTAGTGGAGGAGATAGTCCTCAACCGAAATGAATGGAAGAGCTGGATTCATGTAGCTAACCCAAAAATTTGGGATAAAGACTTTGTTGTTCTTGTTTCTTGATAGATAAAGCATCTTTTGTCACATAGCTTTCATATAAGAAGCCCCTACATTTATGTGGGTATCCTACATCCACTTGGTACACCCAAAGCATATCTCCACTTTAGCAATACTGCTATGTTTCTGCAAAGAACATGCTTATCATCTCACTGCTGTAACGAGTGATCACACTGGTTTAAAAGTCATCTTTTCTAGCTCTTGGCCTTCAAGATTTTTCCTTTCAATACTTCCAAAAAAATTTGGTCATATACCCCTCAAGCATTTAAAGACTATTCAATTTATATTTCAATATTCTGTTGTTCAAATCCATTATTGTGGTTCTTAGACATATTTACAAAGACGGGTTACTGACTTCACTCATAAATTTGTTATTATTTGTTAACAGCGTAAACGTGAGATAGAGGTTGACAGTGATGTCCAAGCTACAATCTCCGAGACCGAAATTCTTTGGCGGGCAAATTTTGAGAAGTTCGTGCATTGCCTTAAAAAGAAGGTATATGATCTGAAACAACCTTAATTTCATCATCAGATTTTTTTTTTCAGTATAAATTGAAGGTGTATTAGCTTGGAATTTCATATGCATTTTAGATTATGGATCTTTTTGAAGTTAGTCTAATACTTTTAAACCTTTCCTCATGTTCCAAATTCCTGTTACCTGCTTTCCCGTGAATTCTTGCCATGAACTATGCAAGTTATGATGTGTGAACTTCATCAAACCATTATCTTGTCCCTTCTTCATGTTTGGCATTTCAAATCTCTTTTGAATTAGATTGTTATGAGATGTTTATATCTTACAAGGGCCACATGCTCTTTGACCAAAGATGCCCTCGAATATTTGTGAAACTGTCACTTCATGTCCTATATCTGCTATCTTCTGAGTTATATGATGAAATGACAGTAAATGGACTACAAGGAAATTTAAATGTGATTAGTAGCTATCTTATTTCTGTATCAATATTTTTTAATGATAACGGAGAAGGCCTTGCTGTGAGTTATAATTAATAGTTCTGTCATCTTTCTGCTTTTTTGGACATATTTCCCTGTTTATGAAATTTTGGAGTATGTTAACCTGTCACTTAGGATTAAGGAAAGTTCCTCCACTGTCAACAGTTTCTATGACGAGGAATTTCTGGTAGAGAGGGTTGACATCATGTTGACAGTCAATTGTGAAATTTTGTCAAATCTTTCACGAGGTCTTACGTTCCATATCCAACCCCATTTGACACTGAAAGGCAGCTAACGATAATGACCAAGGGAAAAGTTTTAATGGTTAGAACATGATTTGAACCGATAATAATTTGAGAAAGGCCGTCCCTATGCATGATGATGATATTTTATGTCATTGCATTTTGTTTCCAGAAATTAAAGTCTACCTATTTGGCAAACAACTTGTGATAGTCTTTGTATGTAGCAAGTAGTGAGATAAATGCTCGTAAACATGTTATAGCAATGAACATATATACTTGTACAGCTGCTTCAGTCATTCTTTACATGCATTTGTCAATTTGTAGTTTCACGTGCGAGTGATCTCCTGTTTAATTATTTATTATATTCTTTAGAGGCTGATTATGTGATACTTAAAGTCACAATGGATCTGACCTCTGCTATATGAGCGTAAGTATGTTGTTACAAGAATATGCTAATATACGGTATTTTTGGTTTCATAATGCCCAGTGTAAAGCCCTGTTTGTCCAAGGATTGATTTTTTTTTTCTTATTAATGTCTGTTACATAGTCTTTTGAGGAAATCTTCGGCTTGGATTTTAACCAACCTACAAAGACATAAGCAGTAATCGGTAAAAAAGAGTTAGACTAATGTGGATAATGTGACAATGCTGGTAATAATATTGCCAGAGATGGCACAGGAACTTCCATCAGCTCAGAGTCCTATTAAAGGTATATTGAAGATTTACAAGTTGTAAGAATGGAGATTTGTTAATCAATGATCCCTTTAAGTAAATTATGAATTAGTAATGCTTGCAATGATCTCTAAACGAGCTACCTACATCTGAGGAAGCCAGATGATGCACTTTATAAATTAGAGGAACAGATCCTTTGGGTAAAGTGACCAAAGATAGAAGTACTAGAAAGAGTTTGTTTAGCTCAAAGATAGAAGTAATAGAAAAAGTTTGTTTAGCTCAATCTTGTGGTACAGAAGAAATGACATGTGTTATGGAATAAACAATTTGATGCACTTGATTTGGCTTGTTAAGGTCCTGACAATTGCAAATAGTATAATTATGTCTCCCAAGTACAGTCATGTTTTTTACCATGACCTCATGACTCATGTAGGACTACACCACTGACTGCACCCATGATCACCGCATGGACCTCTGACAACACTTGTTTCAAATATACCTATTTTTATGGAGGTGTTATTTTCAACCAAGAAAATTTGAAGGAAGAGTTACAGATGCTAGGATTCGCCCTCAAGTCACTTGAATTTAGACATGATATAGACTCCTTGCAATGTCTCCCTAAAACCTCAATAATAAATATCTTGATTGCTGATGACATTAATTATGATCAAATTTCATTCCTGTGAATCCAGCATGGAATTATGAGCCTTTAAATTGCAATCTCCGTCCTTTTAGAGGAATGTTCTTCATTTCTTCTTTTTCTACGTGTTCTCTTGTTTTATGACAGAGAAAGAAATTGTTTCTTCTCTTCTCTCCTCTGTTAGAGTCAAGGAAAAATTTCTTACCTAAAATAGCTGGTTACAGATGTGGTGCTGTCATGAAGAGTGACGAAAATATATGTAGGAAAGAGATGAATGTGTCCCATTTAATGATTTCATTTCATTTCAGGTTACAGAAGTCACAGCTGATATAGGAGTTCACTTAGTGCAACAGAGCCACTTTGATGACAAAAAAAAAATCCAAATAACCATGCACAAGATGTACTTGGTTCGGCAAGTTGCATATGGCCATGGAGAGAGGGAAGAAATTTTAATTGAAGGATTAGATTACAAAGTAATTTTTTTCGCTTGGAGATCAAACTTTAATCCAATACAAAATCAAGCTTTGATTTGTCTTTCACTTAGCACATGAGAGACTCCGTACTAGATCAAGACTGTCCTTAATAATAATTCTTCGTTCCACCAAATTTCATGTATAGAAACTAATGCAATGTCACTTTCAATTCCTATCACCATATTGCCATGGCCGTGTGTATTCATGCTTCACTTCAGCCCACTATTTTAAATATCGGCCGATAATCGATATTATCGGCCGAGTTATCGGATTTGGGAGCTCTCCGCTAGGATAAATTGGATTTTTAATCGGTTATCGTTTTTTGTAGGTTTATCGGCGATTTATCGGCGTTATCGGCACTTATCGGCCGATAAGTAAGACTTTTTTATTGGGATTATCGGGATTATCGGGATTATCGGCCCATTTTGACTAACATTATATTTTTTCAAGGCTATGATGCAAGTTTTGCTTTCTACAATTTGTTAGTGATTCTAAACATGATGATTTATATTTTGGTATGTTTATATTTTATTAAGCATGATTAGATTATATTTTTTAATTGTTATATTATATATACACATCATTCAGTATATCACTCCGATAAATACTACTTATCCTCGATATATCCCTGATTTCCTCTATCCGATAAGGATTTTGGCCGTCCGATAAATCCCCGATAACCGATATTTAAAACCTTGCTTCAGCCTCTTCTTTGGATTATCTGAACATGTGCTATCTGCAACAGCTGATATGTAGTAGAAGTTATGTGGTTGTTTATATGGATCTTATATCTACGGTTGGATTTTGAGCAATAGTTGCGCCCTTGTGGGTAGTATGCGATAGATGGAGATGACTTTGATCTGCAGAATAAACATTGGTGTTGTTAACTTGGTTTCTACATATGTGTATGTAACGTATGTGTGTCGATTTTTGATGAATGTAAATAGTAAGAGATATAAAAAGATGCAGGCAAAACGTCAATAGATATAAATAGGGACTAAATAATTAAACATGCGAACGCAAGACATAAATTTCCAGCCCCAGTACTTAGTGCTCTCACTGACCCAGTTGAAAAGGAAGTCACAGCTGAGATGATTCGCTTAATTATTCCTCCCTTTATTAGCCTTCTGATTAAAGTTAGACAGGCTTATAATAGAAAACTCTTTCAAGGTTCCATGTATTAGCTATTTGTACATTTAACTTTCACCCTGCGTAAATCTTACATTTCTGCCTGTTTAGTCACTGTTTATTTGGTTTCAGTTAAAAATAACATTTTAAAAGTTTTTTAACATCGTCGGTTAAGGAAGCACAAAGTATCACTTTTAGGCTATAATACCTGTACAAGCTATCTTGCACGTTTTGGGCATTTCATTTATCATTCCTGTACTTGTATACTAACTCACTGTTTTTTTCTGCGTCTTAGGCTTGTGTAGAAAACATACGTTCAAGGTTGGGTGTTGATGCTGCTGTAATTTTAGAGGCAATGATAGAGTCCAATTGTGATCAGAAAGCTACAGAAAACAGTTCTGGTAACATTCTTGCTAAATAACTAGCTGGTAATGTATTGTACTAGTGCATAAGTATATCTAGGAAGACATCAACATTTGCTGTTATCGTTTTATTATTATTACCATCATCATCATTATCATCATTCTTATATATGCATCCCCATGCCCATGGCATGGGGTTGATGTCTATAGGAATTTGGATAAACGTAACTATGTTAAGCACAGCTTGCTTCTATATCAAATTTAAGCAACATCTTTGCTGGCAGGCTGATGCATAATATGGAGAAATATGTCTCAGCAGTGTCCTAAGTATGTCAAATATAAAATAAACAAATAAACATG